AATCACCTGTGGTACATTAATATGCTCCTTTTCTAGATAAGTAGACCAAAGATTAATAATTTAAATCAATAGATAAAGCTAAACAGTAATAAATTACAAAACCAGTATCCACTATTTAAATCCTTGAAGTCCAAATTCAGGCAGATATTTCACAAGTACCTATGTCTTTACATAACATTTACAAGTAGATAAGTTACAAAATTAGATATATACCTTTACTTCATAATCTTAACTTTAAAATTAGAATGAATTTAAGATTAAGATGAATAGTTGCTTTAAGAAAAGAGTTATAGAATCACTGATTCACTGATTTTTCATCTATTATCTCCCATATATAAATTTTAGCCAGAGATTCTTTGTGTGTGTGTGTGTGTGTGTGTGTGTGTGTGTGTGTGGTGTTGGGAGGAACTTGTGCATGTGAGGCAAGAATTAAGCCATATCCCCAGCCCCCAGAGATTCTTATTGAGTATCACAACCAATTAGGAATGTGGTACTAAATGCTACTTGAAATGTGTTTTTAATTTTCTACTTTGAGGCATTATAATTCTTCTTTCTTCTAAGTAAAAGGACGGATATAAAGGGATATTTCTCACAGTTATTATTAAAAATTTCAGTTGCTGGTTCATCATTCTTCCCTGAATGGATCCATTGTCTTGTTCACTAGAAGAGTCACCATTGTAACAATCCAGTCCTGTGCATTTTCACAGGCATCCCAAGCATCAGGATAGTGATTACAACTAGGTTAAGTTCACATTAGAAATTATGTATAACAGAATCTCAGAATTTTGAATTCTTCTAAAATTATGTAATTTGTTTCAAGAATTTTGTCATTTGTTTTGATATTTCCTTTTTATGCAGACTGTCAAAACCCCTATTAAAATAGGCAGCCATCAGCCCTGGACCCTGTCAACCAACTGCAGACTGGACTCTAAAGCACAGGGTTGAAAAACAACAAGAAGGATCCCAATCAACTCCCTCTCCAGGTCAGCACTGTGAACCACAAGGGTGATAATCTTATCTGTGTCTAGTATATTCCATTACAAAGGCTCCATGATGGGAGCAGTACTGCAGATTTTTATAGCTAGCAGGAAATAGCTGCAGAAATATCCACCAATCTGTTCACCCACATACAAAGGCTGACCTTCCACCCTGAATTTGCAGAATTGAAGAACAACATTCCTTGACCACATAGCCCAGTGATTTGAGTTTTCCAGTTTTGTTGTTCTTTTCCTTTGTCTTGGAAGAGACCTTGTCAAATCAGAATGAAAAGAATGTTTGAAGCGTGAGAAAATTCAAATTTCCTATTTAAAGCCTGGAGTTCATTAGCAGGAGTATACTCACTTATTTCAAGGGTCACTGGTTTACACAGTAGAGCCTGTCTCTCTGCTACCCAAGCCTTACACCCTTCACCTGAAAGCAGTTTAGAAACACCCTTAAGTCTATTAGCTGTCTATGGGGCCTAATTCATCTTTGCTGTGCTTTGTCTTGTGACCTTGTCAAGTGGTGGGCCCTGCTATGATTATGTGCTATCCCCTTTTTCTTGATCACTTTTCAGTTAAGTAATTGTCTCAGTTTAATTGATTGAAATGCTTAGAAGTTTGTTTATATTACACTGCAATTTTCTTTTATCAATCACACATGATTTAGGTATTTTATTAATTATGGCTCAATGCAGAAATTTTACCCAAACAGTCTTTTCATTAGACATTTTTATTGGACTATTTTTACTGAATACATGTTAATGCTAAAATTGAAATTTTGGCAAGTAAGAGAAATTGTGTGTTCATGATATCATAGAATTAGACTGGTAGCAAAGAGTTTTACACTATAATACTAAGAGACAGAATGCAATGAGTATAGACCGGATCTGCATTTAGATTCTGCATAAAAATATGCCAGTTACTGGGACCCTACTGACCTTAAACTATCTCATCTGTAAAGTGAAAATACTAACATAAACCCTATATAAATTCCCTGAAGAAAATAGATGTGTATATAAAACATAAGATACTTATATCTAATGTTAGCTATTGTTTGTTTTAGTTTGGCCAATAACCAGATATGTCAACTTGAGAGATTTTTGTTTCTAAGTTCCTTTTCTAAATAAGACAGCAAAACCAAATAATTAAAGTACATGTATGAAGACACATATTGGTGTGAACATACTTTATATACAACCAGAGATATGAAAAATTGTGCTGTATATGTGTAATAAGTATTGTAATGCATTCCTGTTATTTATTTTTAAAAATCAATTAAAAATTTAAAAAAACAAGTATTTTCTATTTTTTTCTGTTAAAACTCACTTAATAGGTAAACCCTCTCATATAATTTTATACTAGCCAGGGTTTGCTCATGATGAAATTTTCCTTGTGAGTAATGATGACATTACTTGGAATTTGGATAGTAATGTGAGGACAAGGTGACAAAAACAAAATGGTCCGTAGCAAAGGTTTCAATGTAGAATACTGGGACAAGAACCAAAAACAAAAATCAAAGAACCAAAGCAAAAGTAATCCCATTTAGAAGTTAAAAACATAGATTAGTAGTTAAATAATCTGTTTAAAAAAAACTTGCATTCTGATTTCCTATCAGAGTAAATGAGTGATCTTGAAAAAAAAAATCACTAGAAAAGTTTTGTTAATTTTAGCTTTATCAACCCAGTAGCAATGAACATAGCAACACCTAGCTCTTCAAGTTCCTACCAAATTAAAAAAGCATTGAGAGACTAAATAAATTAAATATGATCAACTTTATGGTTGTTAATTATTTACATTTATTTATAAGACATTTTTAATATTTATTTATCTGCTGTGCCAGAGAAACAATTTAAAAACTAACTCCCAAGTTTTTCTCTCATCAGGTTTTATTTTTGTTTTTATTTTGATACAACTATATCATTTTTCTAACTCCATTTTTCTTTTTCTTTTTGTTCTTTTCTCTTTTTTTATTAACAGCTCCACTCAAGCCGCATGGCCCACTTGCCCACTGCTTGCTGGAAGTGCTTGCCTGCCAGGTAGCTCTCTCCTCCCTGTTCCTTGTGCCCTGTTGATCCACCCAGGAGTGAAGTCCCACATTCAAAGCCTCTAAAAATATTTTTTCAAAAACTGATTTTTAAGTCATAAATCATGTGAACATGACATGTGAACAAAAGAATTTCCAAACAAAATGCTTGTATAGGTCACTCCTTATCTGGAAACTGTATTCTAACTTTGTAATAAATAACTGTTAAGTAAAAACCACTATATAGATGGGCTAGAGCTATGACTATGTAGGTTCCAACTAAAGGTCATCCTGAAATTATGATAGGAAATAATAAAAACAGTAATATATTAATAATAACATCTACCTTCCTTTGTGCTATAAGGCTTTATGTACATTATGCCTTGCTTAGGAGCACACTTCTTTTGCATTAAACTGAGAAACTATATTCATAAATACTAAACTTAGATAATTTGAATTTTATATAATAGTCTGAGCCTATTTATGATGGATAACTAGCTCAGTTAAAACTCTATAAAATGACAAATCAACCACTTTTTATATAATTAAAAGTATTAAAGCAAGACACTGTAAAAAGGAGTCCCATTTTATTCTAAGCACTGAATATAACCTTTTGCAAAATTTCTGATTCTCATTTGAGAGCCTCACAAAACCACAAGACTTATTCAAGGTTTGTTTGTACATAATACCTCCAAGGAAATGTTAAGGAATTTTACCACCATTCCTACAAGTCATACTCTTTCCAAGCAACACATTCTTCCAACAGTGCAAAGCCCTATTCCAGGCAAGAAAGAAACAAAACAAACAGGTGATGTCTCCAATTTTAGTGTAATAATCAGTAGGGTCAGTGCTAAGAATCAAAGAAAATAAGGTATAGTACCTCTTACTCAGATATTTTCAACACATATTTATTTTTATTTTTCTTATATGAGTTGATAAACTGGGATACATGGTAAATAACAGGTAATGGAAACTACAGGGAATCTCCTAAATTTTCTTAAACATACTTTCTCAAAAGAAGGTATAAGATTAATTTAAACTTCTATTTTGGGCTGAAGATACGGCCAGTGGTAGAGCACCTGCTTGGTTAGTATCCTAGGTTCAAACCCAGCACCAAATAAACTGAAGTCTTATTTTATATCCTAGCAAGATTAACCGAACACAACAGAATAAAGGTAAAATGAAATGACCTTGAACTTTTTAAGAAAAGTTTATCTTCTTTAGGATTCTCACAAGAAACTCAAAGTTCTGTGAAAGCCTGACTAAAAAATGACAAGGAAGGAACACTGCCTTGGGTGACTGTTTTCAATACACACGAATTAAAAAAAAAAAAACACCAAAGACACACATCAGAAGGAAAAAACCAAGTGTCTTACTAACAAGTGGCCAAAAGGAAAACAAACACTGGTTAGAGATAGAATTCTGAGAACATAGTTGTATCCATTGGAGAACAGAAACAGCCATCATACCCTTAGGGTTATTCAAATCAGATAATAAGTGGCAGAATTTCAACCAAGCAACTGAAGGTTTAAAATGCATAATAAATCTCCAGCCAAAAGTAAAAGAGAAGGAGAGAAGCCGAGTATGAGGAGTAGCAACATGGTTGTTGATATTGGAGGAAACTACTCAAAATGACAGATTTGTATGGCCTCCCATTCTCAGAGAAGTCAGGCAAAACTAAGTTGGCTGAATACATGAGTGAAATACACTTGAATTTTGGTAAACACAAAAGTGAATCCCACTTCAGACTAATGTGAAGGAAGAAGGAAGTAATCCCATCACTGGGTATAGAGTTAAAACCCTCAAAGTTACTTTTACTTTGTTTTTACTTCCTCTTTAAGCTTGTGAATCTCAGCATAAAAGCAGTTTGATAGAGTTGAACTCTATCTGATAGAGTTAAAGCCAACTAACAGGAACAATGACATATAGAAAAAACTATAAAACCAAACATGAGCAGAAGCTATATCAGTTTCATCTTGCTACAGGCTTTGGTGAGGTTACACTTTGTCTTGGCCCAGGTCACTTAGCCGACCAGGTCTTGGAACTTTAGCATCACCTCCTGTTTCATCTTGGTTGCTGCTCTTTCTTCTGCAAAGTTTCCTTTTCCTAGATTTTGAGAAGGTCTGACAGACACAGCTTAGGAAACGACCAAAGCAGGGTGGTGGTGATGCCAAGGATGTCACTGCAGGTGAAGGTGGCCCAGGCTCCTGAGCCACTGAGAGCTCACAGGGCTGGATCTGACATTCCAGATCCATCACACAGGGACTCTTGTCCTGCTGTCTCTGTACCCTGTCCTGCAAGTAAAAGACATAAATTTAAAACTCTCAAAACTGAGACCCATACGTAACGACATGATCTCTGAGTGAGTTCTTTCATATTCCATCTGGGCCCAAGAATCCCAATTTGTGTCTCAAGATCTAAATCCTCCTGTCAGATGAGAAGCTGTCATTTTTCTTATGGAATAGTAACAAGCCCAGGATCTTGCCAACCCATGCCTAATTCCTACCTCATGGTGAAAGACAGAATCATCTTGGGCACTGTGTAGGGCTGGTGTTTTATCTGTAGTTTCATCTTCTTCTCTTTGTGGTGGTGCCAAAGGTGTTGGAAGACCCGGGGGGCACTGGGCCTTCATTTTCTCCTTCTTCTTTCTCTTTTTCATTCTCTTTGTCCTTACACCCTTCTTAGGATGCCTATGCTTTTTTGGACGTGGGTCTTGCTTTCCTCTCTGGACTGGGAGCACAGATGGATCTTGTGAAATCTTATCTATATGACTTTGAGATGTCCCCTCTAATGGCTCTAATGATGATTCCATAATTCTTTTCAGAAGGTCATTCTCCCAAGGGTGAAGTCTATCTTATGTATCATGAGTATCTGGTAATATGTTCAAGACATCAGTGACATGCTTGGGTTTGGAGTATGGTAATTCCCAACCTCTGCCACTAAGGGTTTTTCTTTGACCCACTATGGTGACCACAGCCAGTTTCTCAGGAATAAGGAGCTTGGAACAAAAGGACCAAGAGTCAAATGCTAAAGGAAGTAATCAGTACCATGAATCTTTCTAATAATGCATCAAGTGGGTTGATCTCTAATCTCTCCTCTAGACTTATCTAAACTTTAATGACCTTCAAAAATAGAGTCCTTGGGTTGTTCTTCTTGGCCTATGGATGACAGATTTCCTAAAAGAAGAGAGAAAGTTGCTGTAATTGTTCCATGGGCACAGAGTCCTTTCTAACCACACATAACCCATGGTTCACTAAAACTGCCAGATCTAGCATAATCTCTGGGCAGAAATAGCATTTAACAACTTACCAAATTTCCAAAGTAGTAGTCCTAAAAGTAAAGAAATTCTCAATGCATGTAAAAATCATCTGGGGTGCTTATTAAAAATACTGATTTATAGACCTACAATTAGAATTTTTCAGGTTGCATCAGAAATTTGCACTTTTTCCCAGTACTTGGGTACTTTTTATGCATTCTTAAATTTGAAAACTACTATTTTAGAGAGAGTGAATCTTGTATCCTATAGGACCATGAAGATGACTATTCTTAAAAAACAAAAAATATCCCTACAGATCTTCCCTAATTACTTTAGAACATATGTTGTCTCCTCTGAAATCCTTTAATCATTATCAAAAAGTTTGGTATTTTACCTCTTATTACTTTGTATTATAATTTAATTCTAAACCGTGTAACTATATCATCTAACCAGATTATAAGCTTCTAAAGGCCAGGAATGCTTTAGACTCAAATAATCTGGCTTATATCAAATGCTCTTTCCACAAAAGAGCAGAAGGGGGAGAAAGGGACTTTCAAATTAAAAGAAAGGCTCTAAAGGAAGAAGAGATTAAAATATACCTGCACATGTAGACAGTCTGTTGACCCTTAGACATTAATAAAAACAACTAGCTAGCTGAATTCTAAAAAAAAAAAAAAAAAAAAACAAAAAGTGATCGGGGGAGAGAAGGGGGGGGGGGGGGGGGGGGGGGGCTCCATATTTTTCTATCACACTAGGACAGCAGGCTATCTAGTCCCTTTTTGACCATGACTAATACTACAGATAGATAATGGTAAAACTTTTGTTGTTTATCTCCTGAAATTATTGGGACCTGGTGAATATAGTGTCATAGTACAGAGTCCAGTGAACAACATTTCAAGTAACTACCAGAGGCAAATGAGGATAGAGATAAAACTCTTAGGTTATATAAGAAGCTAAAACCCTCCCTTCTAATCCAAGAATGAATGAAAAATATTCTGAATATTAAAGACTGCCCGAAGTTCTGAGAATATTTTTATTTGCTGGGATTTCTGAGAACCATGAGTCCCACCCAGAATGTTCTGTGCTATTCTTGTTTCCACCTAATGTGGTGTTTGTGTCATTATTATCTTCACATGGTAGGTGCTTAACAAATATTTTTTGACTAATGGACTAACAGATGATGAGTAAGTGAATGGATGAATGAATCAAATGCTTTCAAAAAACTTCTTGGTTTATGGCTGTAGAGACTTAAGAAGGATTGGTCAATTCTGCAAAAGGATTTCTAATACTTTTTGGCTACCTTTCAGAGATGCTAACAACAGCTTCTAGTAACAAATGTCAATAAAACTTTCATTAATGAATTACTGCATTTGATTGAGGCCACATAAATTATGTGCTAAGTTCAAAGAATATTACTCATCATAAGAAATAGTATCTGAGTACAGACTTTACTTATTAATATACTAACAGTGAGTTCTTTATAATTAGGTTTAGTTCCATGCTTACCTTAGGAAAGTATGATAAAATCTTTGAGATTGAGAAAGGTCCATATAGATCAAAATATAGGCTTAAGTTCTATCTGTTCCACCTAAAGCAACCATAGAGGTAAAAATTATCAGAGCATCAACTATAAAAGCACCCAAGAAGATGGGAGCAGTAGTAAGAAAAAGAAGTCAGCATGACAAATTCAAGCCTCTAACAGTTAAAACCTTGCTTCTCTACCATCTTGGCAATGACCCTGATTCAGGCCTGACCAAGGTTCTACCCTAAAATCTGACCTCTGTTCTCTTTCAGATTCACACTGTCTTAATGGAGACAGAATGATGGTTCTAAACTGAATCTGACCATGTCACTCTGTTGTGTAAAACTCTGTTCCTTATTCCCCCTAGCAAAATCACACTCAGGTCCTTTGTGATCTAATTCCATACCATCTGTCCAATTTTAACTCCACCACTTACCCTCAGACATTTTATGCTGCTGCAAAAACACACTGCTTGTCATTTCCTAAAAGCACAGTACTTTTTTTTATACACTGTCCTTTTATTTGCAATGTCCCTTGTACTCTTCACTATCAGGCCTAGCTATAATATCACTTTTGAGTAGCCTTATTAACTTTCTCAGGCAGAAAAAGCATTTAGAGTCTTATATAATATTCTATACCTACAACGATCACGTCACTGAATTATATAATAAGTTGTTTAGATATCTATCACCTTCACTAGGCTCATAGCTCCCTAAGGATAGAAACCCTTTCTTGATCATTACCGGATCCCTGGCATCTCCATGGTGGCTAACACTGGAAGGCATTCAGTCAGTGTGGACACTTCAAAATGCAGGTCTTGATAGGCTGCTTCCCAGAATCTGGGTTCTAGAGGCTAATCCTCCCCCATATTTGGATACCTCTCTGAACGAATGAATACACCAGAGCCTGGGGAACAAAACTGAGCAGTTCTATCCAGGAACTCAGAGCTATCAGTCAAGCAAATAATCCAGAATATATGATGAAATAGCTAACTTCACTCAGGAAAAAAGCTGGCCAGGCAGTGGTTAACACCATTCAACTGAATTCTATCCTAGAAGCACTTTCCCATTTACTTCCCCTAATACTTCCTAAGGAGTCCTGTAGTTATTTAGACCTCTGACTCCCTATGAACCTACCTCCTTTCTGCCCCCAGCAGACTTCCAAGACTTCCTAGATTCTCAGCATCCGTTGACCATCGCTACCTCTCTTCCTTGCTCCATGCAGAGCTTCCCCCAAATCTCAGAGATCCCTGAATTTCAAGGTTTATTCAGAATCACCTATCTCATTTCCATAGGGACATATCCAACTCCACATCTTGACTCTTATTTTTAGTGTCCCTACCCTGAGGAAATTCTTCCCCAAGATCTAGATATCACATGCAAGGATGATATATTCAATCCACTTGGGTCTTTCTTCAGCCTAACAAGATACAAAAGAGGATTGGACCATGGTGAATCTAACTGAATGTGAACTACATGATTACCCTTGATTTCACACATCACAAATAACTGAGTATACAATACCTATGAATTCACATGTCACAATTTCTCTCCTCAACCCTGTTGCACTTTAACTTTCTTTACAATGGATTTTTCCTTATTTTCACATTTCTTTAAGCAGAGAATATTAAAGCCCTTGGATGAAACTGCTGCCTAAGCAGATTTAGAGCCAAATTAGAAGTCCTAAAAAAAACAAACTCTTGGCCACTGAACTTTTGGCTGGTCCTGAAGTAGAGACTAGATTCCACTAATCATTATTGACAGTGAAGTGATTATGCTTCTTTAAAAATAGGAAAGAAATGATTGGCATGAATCAACTTTGCTTCTCAGTGACTCTCTAGAGAATCAAATAGCTGAAGCATCAGACAACAATTTTCTTTGAAGATGACCTTTCTTTCATATTAAGTGAAAGGCTGAAGTGTTAGTCTCAAAGGGAAAGAAAATGAATAATCTGCAAAGGCAACTACTAGTTCCTAATATACAGTGAAAAAAAATAGAGACACTAAGTCAGAACAGATAAAAAAGACAGGAATTCCTAAACACTTATTATCACCAAATGTAACCTGTGTAGGTTCTGAAAAGGTTGTCTGCTAGTAGTAGTATCCAGCCATGCCACCCACCATCTATGTTTTGGGCTTTCTGGAGGATACCTTAATACTGTACTTGACTACAGGTCTTTCTTCCATAGGGACCTCAGACCCCAACAGTTCCTCTTCTGGTTTCATTCTTGAAATGTCAGAGACATTCTCTAACAATTTAAAAGCTAAAAATTCATGCATAACCACGCAATAGTTTTACTTTTCTAAATAAAATATTTCTGTATTATGTCTTTATTATGTCCGTGCTTTTTTTCTAAAATTTTATCATTTTAAAACTTTACCCCTCTGGGCTGAAAATCAGTGCAGAAAAAGAGATGCTGTAACCTTTGATTTAGCCTAATAAACTAGTAACAACACTATACTCTGTGGGTGGTTAAATCTGATAATATTTTGTGCTGAATTTTCTGTAGTGATTCAACTAAAAATCCTACTGGCCAGCCACTAGAAAGCATGCAGATCGCCAAAGTTTTATATTTCATATTTGGTCTTAAAATAGCCCATATTAACTTGGTGTTTTTATTTAATAACCTAAATGCTTCAAGTAGTTTCTTCCAAATACAATTTAGGATAACTATTTATATTTATATTGTTTAAAAATCTCTTCTGGCTCACAACACTACAGTGCTTAAAATTCCCATTAATAAGGTAGAAATGCTAATGAGAAAAACAAGATGTTATAAAAAATGTATTATTAGAACCACAGCAATATGACTGTTTTTTATAGGTTCTTGGGAACTAATTCACAACTGCCTCTTCTATGCCTTTCTTCAACCATCAGGGTCC